CAGCGCTAAAATCAACCTTGCTGGGTCGAATTTGGGGTAGTGCGGTCGCAAATCGACATTATTGGCCTCCGGGAGCTATCCCAGAGTGCTCTAATGTGACCGCTTTGGACAGCGCTTTCAACTCCGATGCACTAGCCAGGTACACAGGAAAAGCCCCGGGAACTTTTGAATTTCATTTCCTGTTTGGTCAGCGTGGCGAGCTCAGCAGCAAAGGTGACCATGCAGTCTCCCCAGAATTGCAAACGAGCTCCAGCATGGAGTGAACGGGAGACACTGGATCTGATTGCTGTATGGGGAGAAGAATCTGTGCAGGCCAAACTCTGATCAAAAAGAAGAAATGCTAATATATATGCCAAAATGGCACAGGGCATGATGGACAGAGGCTACAACAAGGACACACAGCAGTGCCACACAAAAATCAAAGAGCTCAGGCAAGCCTACCAAAAGACAAAGGAGGCAAACAGTCGCTCTGGGTCAGAGCCCCATACATGCCACTTCAATGATCAGCTGCATGGCATTCTAGGGGGGGACCCTACCACTACCCCACCACTGTCCGTGGACAACTGCAAGGGGGGAGTCTCACGCAACACGGAGGAGGATTTTGTGGATAAGGAAGACGAGGAGGAGAATGCACAGCAGACAAGCGGTGAAGCAGTTTTCCCCGGCTGCCAGGACCTTTTCATCACCCTGGAGCCAATACCCTCCCAAGGTGGGATCCCCAACCCTGAAGGCAGAGAAGTCCCCTCTGGTGAGTGCACATTTGTAACTACAGTACAGGGTTTAAACGCAATAGTGTTTAATGTTTGATTTGCCCTGAAGACTTGGGATGCATTCGCGGCCAGTACAACTATTGGAAAAGTCGGTTAACGTGTCTGGGAATGGAGTGGGAATCATCCAGGGACATCTCCATGAAGCTCTCCTGGAGGTATTCTGAAAGCCTTTGCAGAAGGTTTCTGGGGAGGGCTGCCTTATTTCAGCCTCCACGGTAGGACACTTTACCAAGCCAGTAGCAAGTAGTCTGGAATCATTGCAGCACAAAGTATGGCAGCGAATGGTCCTGGGTTTTAGTCGCATTCAAGCAACATTCGGTCTATATCTTTCTGTGTTAGCTTTAGGAGAGATATATCATTCATTGTCACCTGGTTGAAATAGGGTAATTTTTGTAAGGGAACAGTAAAAGGACCCCATTTATGCTGAGCTGTTTGTGCTTGGCTAAAAAGAATCATCCCTGAGAATAGCCACACAGCGGGCGGTGGGGGTGTGAAGGGATCATCCCAAATAGCCACACGGAGGGGAGGGGTGTGCTGCACATCCACCTGAAAACCACAGCCCCTCCTTTTAAATAGCAAACAATGCCAGTTGTGTTGGCCATGGGAAAGGAGGCTGCTGCAGTTTGAAAACATTCCCACATGTTAACAAGGTGTTAGAAGCCAAACCCATGTACCCTTTGGCTTACCATGGCTGCCTGGAAACCAAATTCTGTTGCCCAGCCGTGTGTGATATCACCATACTGGCAGGCGCTCAATATAAAAGGCAAAATGCAACCTTGTACCTAAAGCACATATGCTGTCTGCTGTGAATTGCTTGCTTCACTGTGAAAGAGTCTCCCTTTTGTTCTCAGAAATGCATCATCTTAAATTTTACTCTCCCTTTTTATCCCCCCCACAGGTGCAAATGTTTCTATGTTCCCCCATCATCTCCGTCCCTGAGGTTATCGCAGATTAGAAGGCAAAAAAAAAAAATAACCCCGCACTCGTGATGACATGTTTTCTGAGCTCATGCAGTCCTCCCACACTGATAGGGCACAGCTGAATGCATGGAGGCATTCAGTGGCAGAGTCCAGGAAAGTATTAAGTGACTGCGATGAGAAGAGGCAGGATGCACTGCTGAAGCTAATGGGGGAAGCAAACAGACATGCTCTGGCCTCTGGTGGAGCCGCAGGAAAGCCAACAAGAGCACAGACCGCCACTGCATCCACTGTAAAACCGCCTGCCCTCCTCACCAAGTTCCATATCCTCCTCACCCAGATGCCCAAGAACGCGGGGTGGGGGGGCGGCTCCAGGTACCTAGCCACTACACTCCAGAGGAAGGCCCAAGCAACAGAAGGCTGTCATTCAAACAGTTTTGAGTTGTAGTGTAGCTACAATAAGCAATGTGGCCTGGTCCTTCCCTCCTCCCCCACCCCACCCAGGATACCTTATTAGTTCTCTCCTTTTTTTTCCTTTTTTTTCTTTTTTTTAAATTAAGAAAGAATGCATGGTTTCAAAACAATAGTGACTATTTCCTTTGCCAGGTATGATCGAAGGGGGGGAGGGTAGTTGGCTTACAGGGAGTTAAAAATCAAAGGGGGCAGGTTTGCATCAAGGAGAAACACATACAACTATCACACCCTAGACTAGCCAGTCATGAAACTAGTTTTCAAAGCCTCTCTGATGCGCAGCGTGCCTACCTGTGCTCTTCTAAGTGCCCTCGTGTCTGGCTGTTCAAAACTGGCAGCCAGGTGATTTGCCTCAACCTCCCACCCCCCCATAAACATCTCCCCTTACTCTCACAGGTATTATGGAGCATACAGCAAGCAGTAATAACAATGGGAATATTGGTTGTGCTGAGGTCTAACCTAGTCAGCAAACAGTGCCAGCGAGCTTTTAAATGTCCAAAGGCACTTGCTCAGCCTATAGTTGAACTGCTCCTGACTACTGTCCAGGCTGCCTGTGTATAGCTTCATGAGCCATAGGAGCAAGGAGCAGGCTAGGTCTCCAGGATAACTATGGGCATTTCAACATCCCCAATGGTAATTTTCTGGTCTGGGAAGTAAGTCCCTTCTTGCAGCTGCTCAAACAGCCCGGGGTTCCTAAAGATGCGAGTGTCATGTACCTTTCCTGGCCATCCCACGCTGATGTTGGTGAAATGGCCCTTATGATCCACCAGTGCTTGCAGCACCATTGAGAAGTACCCCTTGCGGTTTAAGTACCGGTTGGCAAGGTGGTCTGGTGCCAAGATGAGGATATGCGTTCCATCTATTGCCCCACCACAGTTAGAGAAACTCATTGCAGCAAAACCATCCAGTATGACCTGCACCTTTCCCAGAGTCACTACCCTTGATAGCAGAATGTCAGTGATTGCATTGGCTACTTGAATCACAGCAGTCCCCACAGTAGATTTGCCCACTCCAAATTGATGCCCGACTGACCGGTAGCAGTCAGGCATTGCAAGCTTCCACAGTTCTATCACCACTCGCTTCTCAACTGTCAGGGCAGCTCTCATCTTGGTATTCCTGTGCTTCCTGGCAGGGGAAAGCAACTCACAGAGTTCCAGGAATGTAGCCTTACGCATGCGAAAGTTTCGCAGCCACTGGGAATCATCCCATACCTGCAACACTATGCAGTCCCATCAGTTTGTGCTTGTTTGCCGGGCCCAGAATCGGCATTCCACTGTATTAACCAGCCCCACTGCCGCCATGATGTCCCAATTGCCACAGCCTGTGCTTTCAGGAATGTCTGTGTCCATGTCCTCATCACAATCATCCTCATGCTGCTGTCTCTTAGCCAGGTTCTGCACATACTGCAGTATAATGCGTGAGGTGTTTACAACAGCAGGCCCCATGCTTGCCGTGCTATGGCGTCTGCACGGGTAACCCAGGCAAAAAGGCGCAAAATGATTGTCTGCAGTTGCTTTCACGGAAGGAGGGAGGGAGGGAGGGGAGAGTGACGACATGTACCCAAAACCACCTGCGACAATGTTTTTGCCTCCTCAGGCATTGGGACCTTAACCCATAATTCCACTGGGCAGCGGAGACTGTGGGATAGCTTCCCACAGTGCACCGCTCCTCCGTGAGTCGATGCTTGCCACGGTAGTGAGGGTGCACTCCGCCAACTTAATGCGCTTAGTGGGGACATAGAAATCGATTTTTATACAGTCGATTGTGTAAAAATCAACTTCTATAAAATTGACCTAATTTTGTAGCGTAGACATACCCGCAGTGGCTATTGCCAGCTCTGGGGTGGGGATAGATATCAGGGACAGTTGCGGAGATGAAGAGTCAAGGTACACACTATTTCCTGGTTTTCAAAGGTACGATGTGGGTAGACTAGACATTCTGGGAGGACATAAGACACTGCTGGGAAGCTTCAACTGTATGTTAAAGTTTTGGGGCAATTAATATGGTTTAGATCAACCAGAAGTTACTGACTTGATGCAGGAATCACATGCAGAAATCCTATTGCCTCTGTTATGCACGTCGGAATAAATTACCAATCTATTAATCCTTCCCTGTTTCCAAGGTCAGTCTATGGGATCCATGAAAGAGAATGTTCTCTTCCCCATCCTCAATTATATATGCAGGAACAGGAGCACTGCTGATTTTACAGCCATGGATGAGTGACTCACCCTGCTGAAAAAGTGCACTGCCCCCTCAGCTGGGGAACGAGAGGCAAGGGCCTCTCTGACACCCTATCCCCACCGCAAATCCCCCAAGGTATTAGGAAGTCTCTCTCCATTTCTTGCACTGGATGGAAAACAAATTCCAGTTGGGTCCCTTACCCCATCTCTGCCAATAGGAGGTGGTCCTCTCCACTACCATTGGCTGCTTTGGGATTTCAGGCATCTGCATCAAACTTCCCCCAACATAGTGAGACAACACCTCAGGAGGGAAAGTTTATATAGATATGTGCACAGATCTACCTTTTATTGGTTTTTTTAATATATATGTAGATTATATATATATATATTTCTTTAAACAATCCCCCACAAAAACCATCCATCCCCACCCAGCAAAACAAAGAACAAAATCAAGATGGCAGCTACACTCTGGAGCAAAATTGTTCCAGGATCCCACAGAGCCAAAATGGCTGCTGAGCACCAGTACAAGTTCCTTCCAGGCTTCCATGATATTCTGGTGCTAAAGTGACTGAAACGGAGTTAGTCCTATGGCTCTTTAAATTTACCTGTCAAAGGACAGGGCAAGAGAGACGTGGAACAGAAGAGCTGAGGTGGTAAGAGATGGCAACAGAGGAACGGGAGAGATTGCTAGGGGATGGAGGAGAGAGGGAACAGAGCAGATGGGAAAGAACGAACGTGCAGAAGAACTAGTTGGACAGACAGATGCTGGGGATGAGTAGAGAAATGTCATACTCAGGACACCTGCTTTTTAACCCTGCTTTCTCCCTCTCACCCTCCCAGGAGTTCAGAGATCCAGCTAGTTTGATTTAGACCAGATCTTTGCGCTGCCCCGGAGCCTGCAGAGAAAGAAACAAAGTCTCAGAATGGAGCAAGAGGCCCATGGACTCACCCCCACATCCTCGCCCAAGGCACATGAGAAGAAGTGGCTGTGATTCTCAGATGGGGATGGATGCTACCACAAAGGAGGTGTATTGCCTCAAATCGAGGATCTCAGAGATTCACTCCGGATGATTGGGGTGCAGGGCTCCGCTGGCACTAAGCCTGCCATAGTATGTGTGTGAAGGAAGAGTTATTGCCCTGAAACAAAGGCCCCAGAGACTCCCCCCCGAATACACATGGAGAGGGGTCATGCTCAGCTGCGGCTGCTCCTCACCCTTTGGCTTTAGAAGCTTTCTTGCTGGTCTGGCGCTGGTTGGTGCCAGGAGCTGGCTCCCTGAGCTCTGTCAGATGCTGCTCTGGATCCTGAGATGTGGCTGCTGCAGCTGCTGCTGTCGTCACTTTAATTGTCTTCTTCAGATTTGCCACCTGCCAGGGTTGGAAAGCAAGAACAAAGGACATTCTCAAGGAAAAGCCATGTTAAACTAGAGTTAAGTTTGCAATATATGTCAACAAATAAAGAGAAATATCATAGCAGCCTTTGAGAGCTCTGTAGTATGGGGTAGTGTCTCGCTGCACAATGACCCTCCTCATGCATGAGCTTCCAGAGGGTCCTGATGAAGAGTAAGGCTATGTTTTAGTCACGAGTATTTTCAGTAAAAGTCACGGACAGGTTACAGGCAGTAAACAAAAATTAATGGCCCGTGACCCGTCCATAACTTTTACTATATACCCCAGAATAAAACTTTTTTTGGAGGGTGGGGGGGGGGGAGGGAGGACTGGGGGTGCCCAGGGGTGCTGTGGGAGGGAGGCAGCGAGCGGCCCAGGACCCCTGCTGGGAGTGCAGGCAGGCGGCCCGGGACCACCACTGGGGGGCACAGACAGGTGGCCTCCACCCAGAGCACTGGCTTCGCAACTTTCATTGGCTGGGAACCGTGGCCAATGGGAGCTGTGGGGGCAGTGACTGCAAGCGGAGGCAGCACGCAGAGCTGACTGGCCACGCCTCCGCCTAGCAGCTGAGCAAAGGGGATGTCGCCGCTTCCAGGAAGCCCCACAGGTAAGTGCCACCGAGAGCCTGCCTCACCCCAGCCCATGCCCCAACCCCCTGCCTCCTCCCACACCCAAACTATGCCGCTGCTTGGGTGGGGTGAGGAGTGGAGGGGGAAGGGTGCGGTGGCCTGAGACTGCCCCAGCAGTGGCCGGCGTGACTGGCACAGGGGCTGCCTGAGCTGCCCCAGCTGCCCCTGAGCCAGGCACACTGCCCACTGCAGAAGTGACGGAGGTCACAAAAAGTCACAGAATCCATGACTTCCATGACAAATTTGCAGCCTTAATGAAGAGGTATGGACTATAAGGCCTGGCTCAAGTATGAACTATAAGGCCTTTCATCTGTAGGGCACTGATTCCAATCCAGACCCAGATCAGGGGAACTGGCTGTTCTGCATCAGCACACTCACCTCACTCTCTATCTGCTGCTTTAGGCCCAGCTGTTGTTCTTTATGTTGGTTGGCTCGGCTAACCTGCTCCTCAATCCCCGACAGGACAACCTCACAGCCTAGGCACCTGCAGAGGAGAGACAAAGCTGAGCAGGCTGGACAGTTCCACACAAAGGCACTGCAGTGGGGAAACAGGAGATGGCACAGGTACTCTGCCTACATACAGCTACACTTGAGAACATCAACAAGTGTTTAGGAGGAGATGAATGCATCTGATAAGGAAGGGCATAGGAGCAGTAAGCCCCCAGTAAGGAAAATGAGGGAGGAAGGCAGGCTGCAGTGGGAATGATGGCAGGGCTAGGAGGGTTAAATCACTGAAGGGATGTTGGGAGCTCAGGGTTAGAGGGCAGATTTAGCCCAGTGAATTTCAAAGTAAGCTGGGGGGAACCCCTTGTCACCAAAAGGAACTTTGAGAAGGTTACAGTCCCCCTGCGCTCTTCCAGCAGCACACAGGAGAACCTGGAAGATTCTCCCCCATATCTGGGGATGTCTCCTCACTACCTGCAGAAATCAGGGGATTTTGTGGGCTGCCTGAAGCTGGAGTTGTCGCATTCCTGCGGCATGTGGGCATTAGGGGTGTTGCAGTGACTTCAGGGGTTTGAAATCTCTTCACCACTCCTGCAACACTGGGGGTGTGAGCATCTCATCTGTAGCACGTGTGTGTGTGTGTGTGGAGGAGGAGTTAGGAGATGTTTCCTCATCACTCCTTCAGTGTGTCAGGGTGTGCGCCTTCTCACCACTCTGCCAGTATGCAGAGGGCTTAGGAGAAGCTCATCACTACTCTTATAGTCGGGGGTGGAGGAGTGTACAGAGGGCTGGCCTTGGGGGCTTCCTCCTCACCACTCCTGCAATGTGCGGGTGATGGTGCTTAGCTCCTCCCTGCGGATGTCTCGCCCGATACTGTAATCAACCTCAAGACGCTGATTACGCTGGTCCAGGCTCCCACGCAGCACATCTGCATACACGGCCTCAATCACTAGGTCCTCCAGCTGCCGCACATTCTTCAGCTGCAACTGTTCCAGCAGCACTGCATAGGGGATGCACTGTGGGGAAAGCACAGGTAGTTAGTATGGGGTGATCCCAAGAAGAAGGGGAGTGGGGGAACGAAGCCATTACCTTGATCTTGGCAGCCAGAGTGACCACTGACAGGTGCCTCAGCTTGTTCTTCTGAGCCTCGCTCAATGGAGGGAGGTTCCCAGCTTCAGCTGCTCTCAGGGAAAAGAGCATGATGTTAGAGCTGGAGATGTCTTATCTCACCCTGGCCCAGGGTCCTTTGCCCCACATCCATTTCTCAAAGCTTCTAATGTACCCTTTTCTCGGCAAGGCATCTCCTAAAGCTCACACACCCCTCAGCATGGAGGAAGTGTTCCTGAGCTCCTTCAACTTCTCCTTACTCCTCTGGTGATCCCTAAATAATCCCCTCTCCTCCACAAGGTTCACACCCCTAACCACTGGCAGATGGTTATCATAACACCCCCCCCCACCCACACACACCCCCCTCACCACAGCCAGGAAGCCAAATGGAAGGATTGAACTCTCGGAATCTCTGCCCAGAACTCAACCCTGTATTATTATTTGTATTCCAGTAGTATCCAGAACCCCAAACAAGATCAGGCTCCCATTGTGCTAGCCACTATACACATACATAGTAAGAGACAGTTCCTGTCACAATGAACTTCCAGTCTAGATAGACAAGATAAACAAAGAGTAGGAAGGGACACAACACAGGAAGAGTGACTTGCCTGAGGTCACACAGCAAGTCCAGTAGCAGAGCCTAGAATAGAATCCCAATCTTCAGAGTTCTAGGTCAATGCCCTATCCACCAGCCCATGGTGCCTGCAGGACCCCTTCTGCCCTCTGAGATTTCTGTGGCTCTTTGAGCTCCCTCCAATTTGTCACTGTCTTTCTGGGATTGAAGGGTCCAGTACTGAGGAGTATCCTAGGTGGGGTCTCTCCAGAGATGTAGAGAAAGAAAAACTATTCCCTCCCTGCTCTGGAATGTAAGACCTCTGCATCCCCAAAATTGCCCTGACCTGTTTTGTGTTTCTAGTCCATCTGAAGCCCCTGTGCCATTTGCTCCCCCTTTTCCCCTTAGTCTCTGTCCACCTTTAGGGTTGCCAGGTGTCAGTTTTAAAACCAGACCACCCGGTCGAAATGGGACCCTGACAGCTCCAGTCAAAAAGTCCGGTTGGCGGCGTTGGCAGGCTCCCGGGAAGCGGCCAGCATGTCCCTCTGGCTCATAGGGGAGGGGTGGCCATGGGGACTCTGTGCGCTGCCTCAGCCCTGAGCACGGGCTCCGCAGCTCCCACTGGCTGGGAACCATTTCTAAAGGAGCTGTGGGGGCAGCACCTACGGGCGGGGGCAGCGCGCAGAGCCCCCTGGCCGCCCCTCCCCCGGGAGCCAGAGTGACATGTCACCGCTTGCTAGAAGCCACCTGAGGCTACACCCCACACCCCCTCCCGCACCCCAACGCCCTGCCCTAGCCCATAGCCCACTCCTATAACCCAAGCCCCTCAGCCCCAGCCGAGAGCCCCCTCCTGCATCCCAAACCCCTGAGCCAGCCCAGTGAAAATGAGCAAATGTGGGGGGAGAGCAAGTGACAGAGGTGGGGGATGGAATGAAGGGGGTAGGTCCTCAAAGAAGGAGCAGAACAGGGGTGTAAAGTTTTCTGCAATTAGAAAGTTGGCAATCCTATCCACCTTTCCTGCTTCTTAGGAGACAACTGCAGGTGTTGGCCCACATCCCGGAGCACTAGGCTATGGGGACTGTAAGAGAATGACGCACGTACATAAATAATCAGCAAATGTCCCGTATGCGAAGAGGGTGAGCAGACGGAAGACGGAGGAGAACTCATTCTCAGCCAGCTGCAGGGGATAAAAAGCACTCAATACGAACAGCAAGAAACTTTGCACACCACAACCTAACCCCTATCCCCAGTTCCAGGGCACATCTAACACAAATCCCATTTCCCTGCTTTTTTCCACCCAACAGGCCCGCAAGTGTTTTTCAATCTAGGTAACAGTGACTGATTCAGCTACCCACCAAAATGCAGTTGCACCGGGGTGGAATGGCAGATGCTTAACAAGCTACACAGCCCTAAGCACAGCATTTAGGGAAACTGTAAACAAACCCTACTAAAGCGGCAGGAGCAGATTTCGGGAAGCAGCCAGGGATACTGGAACTATTTGCATAGTGGGGGTGCTGAGAGCCAAACCCTATATAGGATGGAAACCACTTCCAGCCAGGGGTTCGGCAGCTGCCCCAGCACCAATGGAAGCAGGCTGAGCTACGGTTTCCCGGGATAACACCAGGGATTCTGACCAACCAGCGTTGTACTGGGCTGAAAAGAAGCGACCTTGCCCAGCTCCGCCAGCGCCACCGAGCCCTGGGGGCCCTCCTCCCGCAAGGCAGCGCACCCTGCCCGCGCCAGCCCCTGCGGCACAACCCCCGCAGAGCCCCCGGGGCCGGCGCTCACCTCTCGGACGTTGGGCAGATCCAGCAGCTCCCCGAAGACGTAGATGCCGGGCGCCTCCAGCACCTGGTGGATGAGGCTGACCAGGGCCGCCCCGCGAGCCGACCGGGCCAGCAACAGGAGCTGCTCCTGGCTCTGCCCCGTCACTTTCACCTCGGCTGCCATGCCACCCGCCGAGCGCGGCCCGGCCCGGCCCCACCACGCGCTGCGGGGACAAGCGGGGCGGGGGAGGAGAAAGGGCCGGGGCAGGGCCTTAGAGCGGGGCGGGAGGGCTCTGGGCAGAGCAGACGCTGCGGGGCCGCCCCCACGCGCCCGCCCCCGGGCGGCAGAGAGGCGCGTGAGCACCGCCCAGTCAGGCTCCTACCTGCCGGCGGGGAGCTCAGGGCCTCCCGCACCTAGCGCTGTTTTTCCTCCTCTATGGTACTCCGCCTCCCAAGAGAAGCCACATCCGGGTTTCTGACGTCATAGAGTCCCAGACCACGCCCACAACACCTTTCTCTTCTCCCCCCCGCCCTCCTTCATTGGTCCTGTCCACGGAGGCAGAGGAGGAGTTGCGTTCCCTCTCTGGTCCCGCCTCCGCCGCTCTGCCATTGGTCGAGTGTCTGCGGCTGGTTGAGTGACACTGGTGCTGTACCGCCGCTGCGGGATGTGCCCCAGCCCGCGGAGGCAGCGCGAGGAGATTCGCAAAGCCAGTGTAATGAATCCCCATTCACCAAAACTCCTCTCCCGAACAACAGAGACAGACATCAACCCACCCCCAGAGTAGGAAATAGAACTCAGGCGTCCTGACGCCTAGTCATGGAGTCATAAAGGTTAGGGCCAGAAGGGCCCACCAGATCATCTTCTGTATATCACAGGCCACCAACACCACCGAGCACCTGCAGACTAAACTAAACAACCAAAATATTACAGCCCACAAGAGAGTAGACTATTTTTGCCACAGGCAGAGCATAGGAGGGAGTGGGACCAAGGTGCACCAGTGCCCGATTGCCCTGCAATGTCAGGGAAATGATTAAGTGACATATACCCAGAAAATTCTGGCAAGTGACCTGCACACACATGCTGCAGAGGAAGGCAATAACAAAAAAACCCAAGGTCACTGCCAATCTGACCTGGGGGAAAATTCCTTCCTGTGTAAGGCTGAGGCCTTTTCCTGCAGCCATATTAGGAGAGCAGTAGCCATGAGCCAAGAAGCAGAAAGTCACATCCTCACATTCCATTTAAATTACATTAAAACAATGTAATATCAGGCTGTTAAGAAGACAATCCTGTCCTAATAGCACCCACCATCAACAGATAAAGAAACAGATCTTAAGATGGTTAAGGAAAACTTTGTTTGATAGCATTCTGTGGCAAGAAATCACTTATCAACAGTGGTGGTTGCAAAATCCCTACTTCTTTATTGTTTTGTCTGTATGGCCTCTGTCTGGTTCTTTGATTGTTTCTGTCTATTACATAACTAATTTTGCTAGGTATAAATGAACTATGGTGGTGGGATATGATTGGTTAAAGAATTGTTTTACAATATGTTAGGATTGGTTAGAAAATTGTTTAGTAATATTTTAGTAAAATGATTGGTTAAGGTATAGCTAAGCAGGACTCAAGTTTCACTATATAAACTGAGGTCCAAAAGGAAGTTCTTTGGAACCAACTCCAGGACACAGTCCCAAGATCAGAGCTGCCAGACCTCAACACCCTGCCAATCACACCGTGCAGAAGCTGGAGTCCCCGGATGATCTGATCCTGACTGGCCAGCAGGAAAAGTTCATCTGCCTTATTGGGAGTGGTGAGCATTGCATGCTTAGTGTGTGTTCTGCTTTGGTGACTGTTAATAAATAGAGGTTAAGGATATTACTGTGTAAGGCTCTTTCACTGGTAAAAGACCTCGTATACCCGTGGAGCCCTAAGTCCATAGGGAATCAGTGTTATACCCTGAACCCATGGAGGGGTAGAGCCTGGAGCCCACAGAGGTGACTTATACCTGGAGCCCTAGGAACTGGGAAAAGGTTAGGGTGACTAAATTAACTGGGTTATGCCAGGAGGCCATGGAAGGGTAAAGGTGGGTGCCCTAGCCTAGAGTGTGTGTAACAGATCATTTTGTGCGGGTAACACCTGACCCCAAAATATGATGATCAGTTAGACCCTGAGCATGTGAGGAAGAACCAGGCAGTCAAGCACTTGAGAGAGAAAATGCTTGGTACCACCTCAAAGCCCTGACCCCCTGTCCAATGTCCCTTCTTAGCCATGGCTATCCCTGATGTTTTGGAAGAAGGAGATTAAAAAAATCCCTCCCAGAAAACATGGGAGGAGGGGGAATCTCTTCCTTAACCTGCCAGCGGCCAGCTAAAATCCTGAAGCAGGAGTTTTAGGGCGATAAGAGATAAACCAGAAGTGAGCCCTAGGGCTAATGAGACTCATCCCCTCCCCTCCCCCCCCATCACAAGCAACCCCATCACATTCTTAGGGTATGTCTACACTACGAGAGTAGTTCGATTTCACTTAAATCAAATATGTGGAATCGATATTGCAAAGTCGAACGTGTGTGTCCACACTAAGGACAGTAATTCGACTTTGTGAGTCCACACTAACGGGGAAAGCGTCGACATTGGAAGCGGTGCACTGTGGGCAGCTATCCCACAGTTCCCGCAGTCCCATTGGAATTCTGGGTCGAGCCGCCAATGCCTGATGGGTAAAAAAATGTGTCGAGGGTGCTTTTGGGTAACTGTCGTCATCCGTCCGTCACTACCGCCCTCCCTCCCTCCCTGAAATCGCCGGCGGGAAATCAGTTCGCGCACTTTTCTGGTCAGTGACAGCGCGGACGCCACAGCACTGCGAGCATGGAGCCCGCTGCGACCATCGCTGCAGTTGTGTCCGTTGTCAACGCCTCGCAGCTTATCATCCACCTTTCCCAGAGGCAGATGCAGATAAATCGGGCGAGGAGGCTACGGCACCGCGGTGAGGGCCTGAAGTCTGAGAGTAGCACAGGCCTGTCAGAAAGCACGGGACCCAGCGCCGAGGACATCACGGTGACAATGGGTCATGTGGATGTTGTGGAACGGCGATTCTGGGCCCGGGAAACAAGCACGGACTGGTGGGACCGCATAGTGCTGCAGGTCTGGGATGAATCCCAGCGGCTGCGAAACTTTCGCATGCGGAAGGGGACTTTCCTGGAACTTTGTGAGTTGCTGTCCCCTGCCCTGAAGCGCAATGACACCCGGATGCGAGCAGCCCTGACTGTCCAGAAGCGAGTGGCCATAGCCCTCTGGAAGCTTGCAACGCCAGACAGCTACCGGTCAGTCGCGAACCACTTTGGCGTGGGCAAATCTACCGTGGGGGTTGTTGTGATGCAAGTAGCCAACGCAATCGTTGAGGTACTGCTCTCAAAGGTAGTGACCCTGGGAAACGCGCAGGCCATCATAGATGGCTTCGTCGCGATGGGATTCCCAAACTGCGGTGGGGCAATAGATGGAACTCACATCCCTATCCTGGGACCGGACCACCAGGCCAGCCAGTACATTAACAGAAAGGGCTACTTTTCAATGGTGCTGCAAGCACTGGTGGACCATCGGGGACGTTTTACAAACATCAACGTCGGATGGCCGGGCAAGGTTCATGACGCTCGCGTTTTCAGGAACTCTGGTCTGTTTAGACGGCTGCAGGAAGGTATTTACTTCCCGGACCACAAAATAACTCTTGGGGATGTGGAGATGCCTACAGTGATCCTCGGGGACCCAGCCTACCCGCTAATGCCCTGGCTCATGAAGCCCTATACTGGCGCCCTGGACACTGAAAAAGAACTCTTCAACTACCGGCTGAGCAAGTGCAGAATGGTGGTGGAGTGTGCTTTTGGCCGTCTCAAGGGGAGATGGAGAAGCTTACTGACTCGCTGTGATTTCAGCGAAACCAATATCCCCATTGTTATAGCAGCTTGCTGTGTGCTCCACAATCTCTGTGAGAGCAAGGGGGAGACCTTTATGGCGGGGTGGGAGGTTGAGGCAAATAGCCTGGCTTCTGATTACACCCAGCCAGACAGCCGGGCGATTAGAAGAGCCCAGCGGGACGCGCTGTGCTTCCGGGAGGCTCTGAAAGCTAGGTTCCTGAGTGAGCAGGGTAACCTGTGACTTTTAAGTTTGTGTACAGAGAAGCTGAACCTGACCCCGTTTCTTTACCCAGTTAATGTTGACTATCCTCTCCAGTTACATACCCCCTTCACTCCCTTCCAACACACGTTTAAAAATAAAATGACTTCTATTTTGTTAATGGACACCGTTTTCTTTATTACTGTTTTCGCGGGAATGTTTTAAACCTGGGACGCAGACTGTGGTGGGGAGCGGGTGTAGTGTACTGATGCAAATGACGCTTCAAAACTGCAGGAATGACAGGCTCCGCAGTGGTGGACTGGTTGTTTCAACGGAGCCTGCCATCCCTCCTGATCGGGACTGCGTGTATGTGGGGGCTATGTGACTTTGTGGCAGGGGGAGGAGGGTTACAGATCCCCTGCTGCGTGGCTCTGTGATCCAGGATAAGGACCGCTGCATAAGATCTGTAACTGCCCTCCCCCGCCACAAAGTCACAGATCAACCCCCCCCTCCCCCCACAGAACATGAAAACCACCTCCCAGACTGACCAGGGTAACTAGTCACTGCACTGTGTATGTGCCCTGCTGCTGGATCTGCCCCCGCCTCTGTACCCTGCTAAAGGTGACTGTCCTGTCCAATTACCAACCCCCTTCCCCTCCTTCAGACAGACTCTCCTCCAAAAGAACATGATGGAAACAGTAATTAACAGAAACGTATATTTTATTATCAACTACACATGAAACTGCGGGGTGAAACTTGGACGGGGGCTTGTGTGAGGCGGGAAGGAAAGGACTTGTCAAATTTTGGGGAATGAGAGCCTTCTAGTAGTAGAGCAGTCTGCAGGGGTGGAGTGAGAGGTTTCACGGACTCTGCCGCCCCTCCTTCTTTGGACTTTGGGTGAGGGGGGTATGGGACTTGGTGGCGGGGGAGGGCGGTTACAGATAGACTGCAGCGGGGCTCTGTCCTCCTGCCTCCATTCCTGCAGAACATCCACAAGGCGCCGGAGCGTGTCCGTTTGCTCCCTCATTAGTCCAAGCAGCGTTTGAGTCGCCTGCTGGTCTTCCTGCCGCCACCTCTCCTCACGTTCCATGTGTGACCGGTGCATTTGGGACAAGTTCTCCCTCCACTGGGTCTGCTGTGCTGCCTGGGCTCGGGAGCAGCCCATTAGTTCCGAGAACATGTCCTCCCGCGTCCTCTTCTTCCTCCGCCTAATCTGCGCTAGCCTCTGGGAGTGTGATGCCAGGCTGGGGTGGGAGACAGTCGCAGATGTGGCTGTGGGAATGGGAAAAAGAGAGTGAATTCCTCAGAAAGATAAATGTAGTTGTGAACAAAGAACATAGTCTTTCTCTGTGAACAAGACCATGCACAGCACCT